GACTTCTTGTGTCAGTGCATCATAACCTTGTACATGCTCCAACATAAACAAGAGGGTCTAGCTGCAGCCTTGCACTTGCACTCTCAGACGTGCATTCTCAGGCTTGCATTCTCAGACACTTGCTGAGTTTGGTCTTTATCATCTTGGTCCATTATGCCACATTATGCCACGTTTTGTGGTTAGAGGAAAATATTATATACATATTCATTATATGAATAAACTGAATATTGAATTTTATATTTTAATAGCATCTTATATTACGCCACGTTAAGTGTTTATGTTTTTCTACAGGAGGAAAACGCTTAACGAGAGACTTTGCGCATTGCGTTCATATTCTGCTGTTCTGTGGTGACGGATTTGCGGGTCTTGTCTTTTTCTTGCAGGACCCTGTATGTTATAGTATAAAATTAGTTTTAATCGTTTAATCACCACCACAGCGTCTTGTCTCCATTGGCAACACGCACGATTTGTGTCGATTGCAAGTGACGTCGCAGGTAGCGGAGAGTGCAAGTGGCGATTGCAAGTGACTTCGTCATTTAGTTTCTTTTTTCTTGTCTTCACCACCTGGCTACTGTTGTAAAATGTTGAGAGATTCAAACAAAAAGTCATAAAAAATAGAACAAAATAAAAAATAAAGCCTGCAAGTGACGTCGCTAGCGGAAGTGCAAGTGTCTGAGAATGCAAGCCTGAGAATGCACGTCTTGAGAGTGCAAGTGCGAGGCTGCAGCCAGACCCTTCTCAACATAAAGGCTGTTTGTGTGTGAGAGTTGTACTGGTTGAATAAACTAATGCTGACATTAATGATAAAATGTCATGCTCTTTTTTTTTTTTCCTGAAATATTTGTAGTCCATTTGTCATTTTGGGAATGAGTGGTCAACCAGCAGCCTGTTTGGTGCGTTAACTAGCGTGTTGTGGTGAAACGGTGCACCCTTAATTGGTAGGTCTGACTCTTTTTCCCTTCACCTATGGCAACTTCTCCTTGGGGACACACAGACAGACTCAGTGACACACACGCACTACACCACCAATCCCCGGAGGCCAATTACCCAATGAAGGTAATGCGTGGCAAGTCAGAGCAAGACTGTGGTTGCTTATTCGTTTATGTCTCCCCTCAAACCTCTATCCCCTGCGAATTTTCACAGGTGAAGAAGCTTTTTAAGATGCAGGAAGGGAAGTTACACTCAAATTGTAGACAACGATTTGTGACATTTTGGTAGGTTTTATTTTCATAGCAGGTTTACATTATGTACTGTGTTTCAAATGTAAGAAAAAAATCGATTTAGTGAACAAGTCTTTGCATTGACCCATCTGGGCTAAGCTCTCATATCCTGCTAAGACAACACACACAACTCTATAATTACACAGGAGTCGGCCTGACCAAAAAACAAAAGCAAAGCAAATAGAGTGAACGACACAAAGAGATGAAAACACAACAGGTGTTGATCGATATGGACTGGTAAAATACACAATCACTGTACAGCACTGCGCTTCATCAGTATTATTCATGCCACCTTGTTTTATTTATGCCTTTTATTATTTATTAAAACAAAAGAGTCATGAAGTGCAATGAGAAGGCTAGGCAGAATATACAAATGATGCAAGCCAGACTCGAACTCACATCACAGCATGATCACCATAGGTTAATGTACTCCAAAGCATAACGGTAACCTCAGGTTCCTTTGCACAAAGGAATTTATATAATGTTGAGGAAAATTCATGTAAAGGTCATGTAAAGACTGGTATTTTGCTAAAATTTCAGTGAGATGCTTTAAACAGGTCCTATCTGTTAACATTAAAATACTCACTGTTTCGAAAATATAGCCACACAAGACATTAACAGTATGCATGCTACTGTGATTTAAGTGTGAAAAAATTATTTACTAACCTTTTCTGTGTGAAGTTATATAAAATTTTACATCTTGCCATCATGATAGTTTGCACTTAAACCCCTAAAATGACTGTAAACATGTCAAAAAGAACTTTACAGTTCAATTTTAACAGAAAATAATAATGTTAGTGTTTTCATATATTGTTATAAAATTTCTGCTTTTACATTAAATCATCCAAAAAAAAACAGGCCCCATTTACATTCATTGTAAGTGCCTCACCATAACCTACAGTTTTGTTGTTTGTTTTTTTTTATTATTATTATTATTATTTATTTATTTTCCTTAGAAAATCAGGGACAAGTCCATTTTTTTGTAGTAATCAACATTATTCCACGAACGTTGTTGATTGAGTTTTATTAATTTTGTATATACAGTGTATATATATATATATAATTTTTTTTTCTTTTTGCTTTATATCAGTTTTAGTAATTTTAATGAAACATCTTCAAATATATTTATTTCAGTTACCAAGGCAAGACGCAAGCATACATTTACTTAAAAAAACTTACTGGCACTGTTTGATTGGTATTACTGTGAGACATTCAAGTTATATAAAGTGAACGAAAGAAGTTAAACCAAGTGACTTGTGGAGTCATTTGTTTTCTCCAGTGAGGAGTGACTCATCCCCGGTGTTCGTTCTGGGTCCTAAATGCAAACCAGTATGGAAAACAGCACATCACATACATTTACATTGTTTATGTTCATCTGCTGCCTATCAGGCACAGAACATGTGTAAGTAAATAAGTGCGTGCGCTTCTGCCACACTTATATTTTACTATTTGTCATTGTCATGACTAAGGGAAATGACTGACAAGCAGTAGAACAAACTATGAAAAGGAGCACAGATGAACATATCGTTGTGATTGCTCTTCTTGTCGAGGGGCCGTGCCTGCAGTCTATGAGCTGATGTCTGTCCCCTCCGCTAGCCTTGCGTGACAGCCATGGCTGATATCTATCTCTACCCAAATGAGTTTTGGTTGTGCCTGGCCAGTTCACTCAAACCTCATTTGGAATGCAAATGAAAGAATGCTAAACAAAGCAAACCTTTTAGACAGTCCAATTTCCTTCCAGTCACACCGGGGGTCCTCTGTCACTGGACAGCCAGGGGAGAGAAGCACTGAGCTGTGGGCCGCTTAATGGATACGGCTCTTTGTCCCCATTTACCTTAGTGCAGCACTTCTCTGCTCTGCTGATCAAGAAATACTGTATCAGAGGGAACATCATATGCGAGTCAATGAGTAACTTTCACCTTTTTTTTTCTTTCTTTCAGTGAATTACGTGTAACAGTACCTTGCATTTGTAGTTGCATCTTAAAATGTATGAAATAAAAAAATATGATTAGTAATTTATATTTTGCATGTAGCATGGCATGTTTATTTTAGTTGTTCATTTTCTTTTTAATTTACAGTAAAATCTAAAAGTCTGGTACCACTATTGTAAATGCTTCTATTTTACTTTTTTTTTTAATTGAATACAGTTTTTAATTATAAATCTTATAGCAATTTGAGTAAAAATGTTACATTTAATGTCAGAATATTTAGTTTTTTTTTTTACTTGTGCAGAATCTGATGACCATGTTCTCCAGCATGATTTGAGAATGTTCTAAAGAGCATCTTTCACCTGTGCAATAGTGCAGAATCTTAAATATGTCCTCAAATTAACCACATTGTGTTTCTCACAAGTAAAGGTATTATGTTTTTAGTTCAGATTGGTGCAAAGAGACTAATGTGCCCTTGATGGCAAAGTAAGGCAGGTCAACATGGTCCACACCTTGAAGTATCAGGTTATCATGGGAAAAACCTCAGTCTTTTGTTCTGACATGATGCTCACAGACAATCAGTGATGGCTGAGGAGTCACCTGCCCATTAAACCCCCTTAACAACATCATTAAGATGTGCTCCTTTGTGCCCCTGACAGTTCCTATGGCGGTAATGCTCTCATTATCCATTATATGATTATCTGAAAGACAAGTCTGTTTATAGTCATATAAATGATTGTATAGGCCATTATATTATATTATATTGTGTTTTTAGCTTTGCAAACTATTTGCTTGTGTGTTTTTATATGTATATTATGCAAATATACTAGGTAAATAAATTATTTTTTTGCCTAAAAAAATCCCCACAAGAAAATAGTTCCCAAAAATCATATTTCTCCTAGAGAAAATGCTAAATGCTATGAATTCTCACAACAATGGGACAATTTTTGCCCATTAGGATATCTTCTTCTGACTTTCATTGACATTTGTCAGACATAGGATTAGTATCAAGTCAGTCTGCATTGTTTAAACGAATCCAGCTATTACACTGGGCCCCAGCGTGTATCGTCGGGCCCACAAGCCTGCAGCAGACAGTGGATTAGAGCAGATGCCTCAAGGCCTGATGATACATAGCCACAACCCTGAGTGTACCTGTGTCCCCTCAGCTCATAATGTCTAACTCACTGTTAGTATGTTTTATATGATTGAGGTTACAGTTCAGATGGGTGTGGGAATACGAAAAAGGGCAAAGGGCAGTTGCTTCTTAGTTTTACTTCTGTGGTTGTACAGGCCGTGTTTTCTTAAATGTAATTTCTCCCGTATTCTGATAACAGGTGAGTCTGTTTTAGAATAGACATGAATGACTATTTCTGTTGAAATAGGAAAAGAAGGTGCAATCACGCAAAGCTGGAGATGACATCATAAACACAAAGCAGGTTGGGCGGGGGCAGGTGGTTGGAGAAGGCTCTCTGGGGCGGGACTGACCTATCATGGAGTTTAGGACACACCTGCAAGCGCTAAAGGCTAAGGAGATTGGCTGAGGCATGAAAATCACACCTGTGGGGGTGGAGGGGGCCTGTTACATGTAAAGCAAGCTCTTTACAAATTCTGTCTCTCTTCTCAAAGAGGTTAAACAGGTAGCATCACCTCAAGCTCCCGGCGAAGAGCGCCTTTGTGGAGACAAAGACTCACCTGCTCTACGCCCAGTGTCGTGTTGGGAATCCGATTTCCCTTCTAAAGATGGTCACCTTCCTGGCTTTCGGGTTGCAAAAATCTTAAGGGCGTCGTTCAGCCGAAAAGAGAAGAGAAGGATGTGCTTGTCAAGCGGCGTAACTGACGCAGTGTGGTGTGTCTGGTATCTAGTGGATCAGTTGGAGGATGGAACGGGTAACTCTTTTTCAACTAAAACTTTTCATATCTTTTTGTATTGTGTGGTTTGCTTGAGTTTGCGCTCGTTGTCCCCACCCTTAGTTATGTTCTTGTTTGCTAACAGACCATGTCATGGTAGCCACACAGTGGTATTTACAATTTGTACAGTTCAAAGTAAAGAACTCATAAGTGACATAGAACATGGATGTTTTTTGAAGTTGGTTAGGGCTCTGATAATCTGTATCAAATTCCAATCCGTTTAAACGGAAAGAAAAAGAGAACACAATAGACACAAACTGTCATTCCTTGACTGGATAGACCAGTTTGGGCAGGTAGAGGCAAACCGCCAGACTTGTCAAAGGGGATAAAGAGGGGGCTTCGGAGACCTCTCTACTTTTGTTGAAAATAGAGCTTTAGAAGGACGCTCGCTAATATCTAATGACTGACAGAAAAGGCCTTTGTTGATAAAGAAAGGGGTTGTGAGTTATTTCTAATTATTAAACATATTTTCATATTTTTGAAAGCTTTTCATAGTGTTAAAATACTGAAAAACAACAGCATTTAGTTTGTATTTTCCTTATTCTATAAGCATATAAAGATTAATTGCATTTGCTTTCCTGATTGCTTGTAGTAAAACTTATCTTTGTGTGTCTTTTTGGCATGATTTCAGAGGAAGCGAGACGATGATTGCTGTTTTGTCGGCTTCTGATGCGGAACACAAACAAGTGTCTATTAGCTTATATGCGCTAAGCTGTCGTCTGCTCTTTTATCCTTCTTTTTTGATAGTCACGATCGCTGCTTTAGATTAATACTAACTCCTCTTGTAGTGACACCGTCTTGATATCGCTTCGAAAGGCAGGCTTATGTCATCCAGTCATTTCATTATTGCTGATAAATGCATTGTAAAAGAGCTTGTCTGCAGTGGAAAGAAAATGTCGGCTAGGCAACACAATGGATGCACAGTGAGGTGGAGGGTTTTGATTGGTGGGTGGAGGAAAATTAGTCTGTTTCATTCCCTCATCTGAATGAGTCATTTGTCACAGTTCTATAACCCAGCTGAAGCATTATGAGAGTTGAGCTCTCCCCGGGACAATGTGGAAAGGTAACAGATCTCCACGTTTGGAGGCTGATGAAGCCTTTATCACAGAGCCGTTAGTGCTGGAAGCGACCAGTGGTTCATGCAGTAGTGTTTGTTCCTTCGTGTGAGGGAAGAAAATGGCGTATTAATTACTGTGCATGGGTGAGAGGTCACGGAAGTCCGGCACATTGAACTTGTGTACTTAAGAGCAGCAATCTGCCTCGGTGCACATTAAGCATGTTCATGGGACGCCATCTATAAGCAGGTGTGCATTTTTAGACATTTTTGAAAATGTCAGATGAGATTTTTTTAGACTTTTTAGAAGATTATTAAGAAAAGATGTTTAACATCATTTAAAAAATATAGATGTTTAGCATAATTATGCTGAAAGATTGAAAGGAGTTCTCTGGAAATTATGGAAAAATACCACATATGCAAATAACTCGTATCCACTTCCTATTCCCATCAGGAAAAATTATTTTGAGCAAGGAAATATACTAGTTTTGCATGATCTCAGGGAGTTTTTAAACTCAGAAACCTTGGAATATATCGAATTATTTCTGTCTTTGCATGCATATAGTAGGAAACAACACATCCATTTAAACCTGAAGCGCAATTAGAGTCATCGGAGCGAGACCCGCCTTTAAGTAAGGTTTAGGGTTTCCTTGTCTTTGTTCTTCACAAACTATTGATTAAAGCCAAGCCTAGTTTACCCCTCAGGTTGTCCATTTCAGCATGGAGTCACATTCCAACCAGGAGGGCAGGGTTACCTGATCACACCTCACTCTCAACTCTGAGACCCGTGCAGACAGCCAGGAAAGGTTAAACCTGCACCTGACGGCAGCTGAAATGTGAGGGAAAGAGAGAGGAAAAACAGAACAGGGGAGACCTATTCTCACAGACGGACTTTGACCATAGACGAGAACCCTCAAGTATGTGCTTAAAACGTTTTCTTCTTCTGACTTATTCTTTTTTCCCTCTCTCTCTCTTCTTCTCTTCCTCTCTTTCTTTCTTTCTTTCTCAGAAGGCCTGCTGCACTGGTTTATAATGCTGATGATTAACCAAATAGAGGCTGCGGTCTGGGAGAGCAGGTCTGCTTGAGCTTTTCATTTCATGGGTCCTGACTGAGCAAGAGGAAGCTGAAGCCTTTTCAGGCACTTGCTGGAAATTTGAGATTTTTACCCCCTTACTTTTTTTTGTTACTTTACCAGGGTCCCTTTCATGACGGTAAGGTTACAGGCACTCTCTCTCTCTCTCTCTCTACCCTTACGTTTCCCTCCCATTCTCTCTACTTCTGCTCCCTTTAACGCTCTCCTCCTTTCTCATTTTCTCACAATATCTATAAATTCAGTTCTTTGTCACACTTTTTTGCTTTGTAGAAAAAGTTTTGAAGAATTTGCTTGATTTTGAGTTTGTTTTCCCATTTTAACTGTTACAATTGGGCATTTGAAAAGTAAAATCACAACAATGACTACTATGCAGTACTTTGTAGGTCTAATCTAGCAATAAAATCTGATCAGTAGTTCATTTTACCACCTCTCCACTCTCTTTACACTCTCTCCAATATTTAGCTGTTATGCTAACATTTGTGAAGAAACATTCAACTATCAGTATGCTAAAGATGGAGTTTATACAGACGTTACTCAGTAAACAGGAAGTATCTAGATCGACCTTCTCAATGCCGAATCCGGTGACAGGTCAGTCCGGAACAACATTCCTGCACGCTGTTATCACTACATAGTGCGTCAACTAACATTAGCATCCGTCAACCCTTCCCACACTCACAGTAATACTGTTTCTCTCACGTTTAATAAGACAACTGGTGTTTTTGGTATGTATCATGCACTGTGAGGATGAGTGAATCTTTCAGCGCCACCCAGCAAGGCCCTTGTTGCTTTCAGCGCCAAGGGGTTGGGTTTGGGGGCCACTGTTTAGCAGAAATGCGTATTTTGTTCCCTCAACATTATATTGTTAAAGCGAACAGCCCTCCCAGCCTGGCCATGATATCAAATCAGACCAGTCAGAACAGGTTTGGGCAATTATTAACTGTCTCAGTGGCCCACTCTGCGCCTCAGCTGCAGTTTTCAGATGAACAAAGCCATGTGCAGTACTAGCTCTACCTGTTTTTAAGCAAAGCAGGATATTTTGCTGGCATACCCTTTGTCTGGGACAGTTGAGTCAGAGCTGTTATCAAGAACTGTTGTAGTTTCTATGGTTGACTCCCCAAATAGTGCCATCCAACTTTAAACAAAGGAACTGGTAGCTTATAGTTCTGTTAGTAGAATGTTTCAGCAATGTTTTGGTGCTGATTTGGTGTGGCATTTGATATATTTCACCAGACTGAGATTTTTTTCTGCTTATTAAGATTGATTTGGGTAGTCTTCTCCATCTTACGAGGCAGCATTGGATTTCATTATTTTCTCTAATACTGCCTGGTAATGATGATGATGGCTGTCCGCTAACGTCAGATCCAGATCTTTCTGTATCAGTGTCCTGGAAATATTAACCCTCTCCGCTGGCACTTAGCAGTCATCTTACCGGACAGTGCTGGACTGTGTATCTGTTTTCTAACACTGTCTGGTAACGATGTTTGTTGGGTGACCTAGATGCTTCAAGGGTAAGTCCTCATGTTAGTTCACTCCAGTCACTCAAGTACAAATGTTATAATGCTAGTCTGCTTGCAACTTATTTTACATGTCCTCATATGTGACCCTGGACCACAAAACCAGTCTTAAGTAGCTTGGGTATATTTTTAGCAATAGCCAAAAAAACATTGTATGGGTTAAAATTATCTTTTTTCTTTTATGCCAAAAATCATTAGGATATTAAGTAAAGATCATGTTCCATGAAGATATTTTGTACATTTCCTACCGTAAATGTATCAAAACTTAATTTTTGATTAGTAATATGCATTGCTAAGAACTTCATTTGGACAACTTTAAAGGCGATTTTTTTCAGTATTTAGATTTTTTTGCACCCTCAGATTCCAGATTTTCAAATAGTATCTCGGCCAAATATTGTCCTATCCTAACAAACCATACATCAATGGAAAGCTTATTTATTCAGCTTTCAGATGTTTTATAAATCTCAATTTCAAAAAAATGGACCCTTATGACTGGTTTTGTGGTCCAGGGTCACATATGTGATATGACATGGGAATGACTCTACTGTTGTCGTGGCAGCAATTCTTATCGCTACTTTGATGTTTGACAGCATTTGTTTTGGCTTTGTTTCCACCGTTGGGATGAGAAAGCCACATCAGAGCATGTGTTTGTTTGACAGTAGGTAAATACTGTATGCGTAAGCCATGTTTCCACAGAAACCATAACGGCCTCTCTGCACTTCCTGGTGTAGTCTTGATCTACACTAACCTAGGATATACTTTTTGTACTGTGTGTTTTTACTCATGGGAAACAATTTGCATGTTGAAATTTAGAAAGCAATGTGGTAAAGTATCAGCAGTTAGAAAGTTCACAATCCTGAAATGTTGCTTTGGAAGAAAGCCTTTAGAAATGATCTAAGAAGAGACTCGAGGGGCTTTGTTTCATTCATGTCCGTGTTCCATTTTGTGTTTGAGACGTCTGAACCCCACCCAGCCTTAGTTAAAGAATACCAGTCGGTTGACTGTTAAACCAGACCTGCTGAAAGTTTCAAGGGTAAGTCCTCATGTTAGTTCACTCCAGTCACTCAAGTACAAATGTTATAATGCTAGTCTGCTTGCAACTTATTTTACATGTCCTCATATGTGACCCTGGACCACAAAACCAGTCTTAAGTAGCTTGGGTATATTTTTAGTAATAGCCAAAAAAACATTGTATGGGTTAAAATTATCTTTTTTCTTTTATGCCAAAAATCATTAGGATATTAAGTAAAGATCATGTTCCATGAAGATATTTTGTACATTTCCTACCGTAAATGTATCAAAACTTAATTTTTGATT